CACAACCCTTCTTTTCTGACCCACAACCCTTCTTTTCTGACCCACAACCCTTTTTTTCTGACCCACAACCCTTCTCCTTTCTTTCTGACCCAGAACCGCGATCCGCCCGCTTTCTTTTTGACCCCTAGCCGCATAGCCCTTTTCTATAGCGACCCTTCTTCTTTCAATTGGATCCGCAAGCCTTCAGTTTTGATCCATATATCTCGTGAAGTAAGGGCAGAAATATGTACATTAGACAACACAGTCAAAAACAACATTGCTCAACACTTATTACAGGCTCAATGATTAAAATTAGCTATTTCCGATGTATCACACGATCACTCAAACCTTCAATGCTAGAGGTGGTGAAATTAAGCTGAGTATTGTAAAATAATCTTCTAAATTTACTGGTGCCTTCATCAGCTTGTTTAGAGCACCTAGAAGTGGCAAAAACCTAAACCGTTTCTTGCCAGATATGTATACAAGCGATGGAACAACTTCTACAATCCAATGATATATGGAAGAATTAATGACACAGGGGCCGCCAACACAGAAGACTAATATGGTAGAGGTTTCCAAGATGCAACACGTAGTTTAAGTTGGCAAATTCAATTGAGCAACTCACAGAAATATCCAGAATTTGAAAGTCAAAGTTTATCAGAAGCGTTTTGTTATTTAAGAAGAGCTATACATTACATGAGCCCAGACCAAAATAGTTTTTAAGTTGTTCTTATCAACAATACAGAAGTAAAAAATTCGTTATAGGTATGTCATTTGAGAAAATGGCGGACGTCAATTTGACCGGATACAACGCAAAAATGTCGGGAATTACAAATTTCACTATTATGAGCAATTTACGAGGTTTTCGGCCACATGCTTTCATAGACTGTTCTGGAATTGAAAGAAAGCGGAAGTGTTGTACATGATGAAAAAATCTATATAATACTATATACAATGATGAAATACGAAAAAAGAAATGCAAAGACTGGCAACCGTGTTCATCTTCAAAAGCAGTTAATGAACTTCAGCCCCTTTGATTTGAGGGATACTTCATACCTAGACCATTTACATACAGAATCGAAATTAAGGCAGTCAAGGGAAGCAATGCTTTTATTAAGAAAAGACATGATAGAAGCGAACAAGAGGTCTAATTATGGACAGAATAACTAATGAGTTATCTCCTCCAAACTTACCTTACATGTCAAAGCAACATTTAGAAGACAGAGTTAAACCACTTAAACATCTGGCGACATCCTTCTCTAAACTTTCCCCTTGGGTGGCTCACCAAAGGGTAGGCCAACTTGGAAGGGCCACTTCCCTGCATTGGCCACAAAAGGGTGAGTCAACTTGGCATGGCCACTTCCTTCTCCAAATTTTGCCCCTGCGTGGCCCACACAAGGGTGAGTCAACTTAGCATAGCCACTTCCTTCTCAAATTTTTTCCCCTGCATTGCCAACGCAAAGGGGTGAGTCAAGTTGAAATGGCAACATCCTTCTCTACATTTTACTCCTGCATTGCCGACAAAAGGGTTAGTCAACTTGGAATGGCAACATCCTTTTCAAAACTTTCCCCTTGGGTGGCTCACCAAAGGGTAGGCCAACTTGGAAGGGCCACTTCCCTGCATTGGCCACAAAAGGGTGAGTCAAGTTGGAACGGCCACTTTCTTCTCTAAATTTTACCCCTGCATTGCGCACAAAAGGGTGAGTCAACTTGGAAGGGCAACTTTCCTCACTTGGAAGGGCAACTTTCCTCTCTAATTTTTACCCCTGCATGGCCCAAAAAAGGGTGAGTCAACTTGGCATGGCCACTTCCTTCTCTAAATTTTACCCCTGCATTGCCCACAAAAGGGTGAGTCAAGTTGAAATGGCAACATCCTTCTCTAAATTTTACCCTCGGGTGGCTCACCAAAGGGCGAGTCGACTTGGCAGGGCAACATCCTTCTCTAAATTTTACCCCTGCACTGCCCACACAAAGGGGTGAGTCAAGTTGAAATGGCAACATCCTTCTCTAAATTTTACCCCTGCGTCAACCAGTGAACACACGTGAAAGCACAGACATGAGAGCACATAAACGAAAGCAAATATTCTTTGTTGAGGGAATGGGTCACGACAGTGTGACAACCAAAGTGAGGGCATGAGTGACTAAGTCAGCAAAGAAAGAAGTAAGTAAGTGGCCATTTATATGGCACCCCTGTTCATATTGAATAAGACAAGGGAGTTTGTGAGGAATCACCCTGAAAAAATATCATTGTGGCAGGCGATTGTAAACAGATCCCACCCATAAAGGACTTGACAAATGGTATGACACATGAAGGGTATTGAGACCATTGTATGGATTCCATTTTTAAATGTAGTATTTTCCTGAAGATATGTAAGAGAGTGGGAGGGAAGGGCGCCGAAGAGGGAGAAAAGAACAGGGCAGTGTTGGATGATTTGTATGTTGACTACTGGCTAAAGAAGTTACCCATAAGAGACATCATTGAGAAATACTTCATTGATACCGACAACGTTATGACATCTGATAGGCACATAGCATACACCAACTTGAGATGTAGAAGTGTAGCAAATAGGGTCAGGGCATTGTTAGGTTTTAAAAAACAAGTACGTATGAAATAGGTGAAGAGTTGATACGCCGTCTTTATCTGGACAAGGATGGTATGAAATTTAATGCGATAAAGTTATAAATATAAACTCCTGCATGATTACAATACAAAATTATCAAAGAAAACAGAAGACATATTGCGCTACTTGTCACAGTTGTCAAGGGGCATACATCAAATCAACAATCACCATCCACGAATGGGAGAAACAGAATCTGGTCACTAGGGAGTGCTTATGGACATGCATCACTAGAGCAACCGATTTCAGGAATGTTTACTATTTCAAGAACGATTCTGATGATGATAGGATACATGGTTTACCGTTAAGCAACTACTTGAACATGGGCATAAGGTTCAGGACTTCAAGGCAGGAAGACACATCAATGCCAGGAACTATGTGAACGTGCGCTGGTGCTAGAGGGACTGGCTGAGTGCTGTCAGAAGTGCGGTGGGTTTTGAAATAGATGACAAAAGGGAAATCAAGTAGCACTGTTGCCGTGCAACGGGTTGACAATGCCTTTTGCCATTCCAAAGATAACTGCGTGGCATACTGTAGATACTGTAATTGTAGTTCTAAATAATCTCTACTTTAGATATATGTCATCTAAACAAAACAGTTTTTCTGATATATATGTTGACAGAAGTGGTTTTGGGAGCAAGGCTGTGACCTTGCAAGATGCCAGAAAAAAGGGATAGGATTACAAGCACTTCCCGGGCAAGCCGGCGGCGGAAGTTTCCTATAAGAACAAATTGACCTATAGGAGTATTCCGGTTCTCTCAAACACGCGCGTCCCCCAGTCAAACGCACGCGCTCCGGACTTTTGATCAACACAGCGCCACCTGCGCAAGGTCTGTGCTTCCTGCAGGATCAGCAGCTCACAACAGCGTACCGGGTTGTGTCTATGGCAAAGCAAGATCAGCAGCCCACACCGGTGTGCTGAAGCAACTGGGCAGCTACAAACTTACCTGTTGACAAAACAATCAACTGTAACCAGTGTTGGGTTATGATGAGTGGTGTATGATGAGTGATGTATGATGAGTCTTGTATGATGAGGGGTGTATGACGAGTGGTGTATGATGAGTGGTGTATGTTGAGTGGTGTATGATGAGTGGTGTATGATGAGTGGGCAGCGAGAGATGACTCAGCAATGAGAGATGACTCAGCAACCACAGATGACTCAGCAGCGAGAGACGACTCAGTCGCGAGAGATGACTCAGCAGCGACAAATGACTCAGTCGCGAGAGATGACTCAGCAGCGGGAAATGACTCAGCAGCGAGAGATGACTCAGCAGTGAGAGATGACTCAGCAGAGAGAGATGAGTCAGGAGCGAGAGATGACTCAGCAGCGAGAGATAACTCAGCAATGAGAGATGACTCAGCAGCGAGAGATGACTCAGCGCGAGAGATGCGAGAGATGACTCAGTCGTGAGAGATGACTCAGCAGCGAGAGATGACTCAGTCGCGAGAGATGACTCCTCCGCGTACTAAAGTTGAATGGCCAGTTCTCAGTGACCAGCTCCACAGGTTGCTCCGCATACTAAAGTTGTAATAGTCGCCAGTTCTCAGCCTCCAGCTCCCCAGATACTCCGCGTACTAAAGTTGTACTACAAAGTGGCCAATTCTCAGCTTCTAGCTGCACAGGTTGCTCTGCGTACTACAGTTGTACTACAAAGTCGCCAGTTCTCAGCCTCCAGCTCCCCAGTCACTCCGCGTACTAAAGTTGTACTACAAAGTCGCCAGTTCTCAGCGTCCAGCTCCACAGGTTTCTCCGCTTCCTAAAGTTGTACTACAACGTCGCCAGTTCTCAGCTTTCAGCTCTACAGATTGCTCCGCGTACTAAAGTTGCACTAGAACGTCGCCAGTTCTCAGCTTCCAGC